ACTCGAAGTATTTTTTTCGTTTGGAATGTTTTCAGCTTCTTGTTGATAAGCAATAGATGTAAACATGATAAAAAAAAGATGTATAAGAAAATACGATATTAAAAAAAAAAAATTTTTTATAGCGTTATTCACAGGACTTCTTATTTATAACCAAAGAAACATAAACTTTTGACGCGATTGGTGTATTACTGATATATTGATCTACAATGTGAAATTGTTCCATTTTTAGAGTAATAGTTTAGGGGAATTAACCCGATATAGTAACTACCCAGCGTAAACCGTCAAAAAGATCTCGGTCACGTGACCTCTGTTGATTTCAGCCAAAATTAAATACCATTTCAGCCAAAGTTACGATTTCAATATGATTTCACAAGGAAAAGTGTCGAATATATATAATGCATATATAAAAGTCTCTTTTGATCACCTTCCAATGGCCTTCAATAAAAAAAGTTTTTTTAGTATAGAAATCATATCTGTGCAAGATAATTTTGCATATAGTTTCTATTTTTGCATTATTGTATCATTCAGTTCAAAGGTATGACCATAATGATATTAAAGAATTGTTTTACGTAATCAAAATAAAATGTCTTGGCCAAACTATCTTGAAAATTCATTTTTTTTTTTGATTTTCGCGTTTCATGTTTGCAGTTATATTTTCAAAATGATAAAGGTAATGTTTTATTCGGGGTCGAACTTCTGACAAGTTTTCGGTTGTAATTGTATCGATGGTAGTTATTGATATAGGAAACATTAAAGAATACGGTCAATTAAATATAATAATCTTCAAAAATTAAATTACAATATATAATATATAACATAATAAGATGATAAATAATAAAAAGATTCCTTTCAATCTTTCCAACCAGATTACATTATTATTCGTTCTAGTGATAACTTCTAAACATTAACTTCTATGTGATAGATATATTATATATCTTTCTATGTGAAAATATTAATAAAAGTAGTTAAATTAACGAGAAATTTTATATTTTTCAAGCTCTGCAGCCAGATCTGTTATTTGATTACGATATGCAACTTTCATATCCTCAATATCTGCTTGTAATTCTTCCACTTGCTCTGTCTTTTCTCCAAGTAATTCTAATGTAATTAGATATCTAAATAAAAAGAGGAATAAATTGTTAAATATAAACTTTAGATAATAAGCACATGATATTAGGACGTACCTTTCGTTCAATTCATGGAATTGTAGCTCCAGCTCTGGAAGCCTTCTTGTCTTTATAGAACTAAATTATAATCAAATATTTGTTGATCATTAATTTTGAAATATAATAATAATAATAACAATTTACTTACATATCTTCCATTTGAACGGTTAATTTAACTAATTCATCTGCTAATTCATCTAATATAATACAAACCAGTTATTAATAAATATTCTAAACAACCAATTTTGATATGTGCGCACGTTATTAGGAAAAGCAATACGACCCCATACCTACCTCTATTTTTTGTAGTCATGTGTAATTGACCTTGAAGAGTACTAACTTGTCCTTCCAAATGTCTTACGGAAGAATTTAATTTTTCAATCATCATAACACTGCTTATAATATTACTTCCGCCATCAATGCTTAATCTTGTACTTGATGTTGGACTATACATTACAGGTGATAATATTCCTCCATCATAATTTCTCCCTAAATTTGTCTCACTTCTTGATCTCAATGATCCCAAATTTGTTTCCTCGGATGATCTCGATGAATCTAATTTAGCTCTACGCTTTTCTTTTTCGTGTTCTTTAATAAGTTTGTTCTCTTGCTCAGAACGCACTTTCTGTTCCCATTCCTCCTGTTTTTCTTCCAATGTTTGTCGTAACATACGACGATACTGTTCTTCTGCTTCTTGCAATGCTATTTTGTGAGTTGTTTTGTAGGATTCAAGTTCTAAAACCAAATTCTCAATTTTGGCTTCTAAATTTGGAATTCGTGCACGCAATGAAGTGATTTCCTCGTTTAATTGTTTGTTTTGATTGCGTTCAATTATCAACTGAAGTTCTTGTTGTTCCATAGTTGATGACTTAATTTTATGACAAACGTAAAAAAAAAAAATATATCAATGTGAGTTGCGGATAATAAAATTTTAAGTTTAACAAATAAATTACCATTTCTATAAGCTGATTATTTAAAGTTTCATATTTTCCAGCAAACCGATCTCGCTCCGTTTCCATTTCAGTAAGTTGCTTAGAAAGACTTAAAGAAAGGAATATACTTGTGTTTAGAAAAGTCATTATATTTTGCATATTTTAATAACGATTTTTTACCTATTTTCAATCCTTTCCCAATTCTTCACAGACAGTGCATGTTGTGTTTGTACGTCTTCTATGCGTCGAAGTATCTGAATACGCTCTATCTCCCA